CTCATAATGAAAACAGCTCGCAACTTACCCCGGTGACCTCCGAACACTCGAAATACTTGCTGGCGCCAATTCGTTTTGCGAACGTCTCGGCTTGATTCAACGTCATTGGCATGTATTTGACCTCTCCACAACCGTAGTTCTCGATCAACATTGAAAGCCTTTTTTCGATTTGAGTCCCAACAAGGACGAAGGGCACACCGCGAATACGTTCGATGACCGTGTCGAGGATCTGAAAAAAGAGTTTGTAAATTCCTTATTGCTAAATCGTCTTCGAGGCGAAATGAACCACCTCTTATTCTTAACTAACCCGTTCTTAATTTCTCATTATTTGATATAATTTTTGTTCACAATATGTTCTCAAAAGAGACGGCGCTGCTGCACCACCACAACCCCAAGAAGATTCAAAAAATCTCTCCTATGAGAATTAATGCCCTTATTATGAATATGAAAACCGTTCAATGCTGGCGGTCAAAATCAGTGTGAGAACGCATTGAACTCTGAACGTATTGAACTCTGCGTGAATTTTTGAATAGAGCAGGTCATATATAATAGTTTTTGGGTTTGAGGCAAAGAGTGCCATGTGCCATCATCACGCCATTCCTTAGTACTAGAATATTCACTAGAAAATTGCTGCCTCTGCCGGCACCCACGCAAGTCCAAGGTACAGACGCTTTTTGCTACCTGGACCACAAATTGTGGAAGTAATGAATGTATTAGTAGATCCCTTGTTCGGTCTTCTTGAAACCTGGGCATGTTAGAAATATTGCTGGATGTTGTTTTGCCGTACAGGTTGTTACAATGGGACTTCTTTATTCTTTATTTACTTTATCGGATGTATTAGTTTATTTCTTTATTTACTTTATTGAATGTATTAGTCCCTAGGATGTTCATGCACTTAGGGAAAAGGGGACATTCAAAACAGAGCATTCAAAAACCGCTGGGAGGCGGCACTAGGACTAAAGACCTAGGGAGGGGAGGAACGCCAGGGAGAACGAAGATTACTCAGCTCTCTCAGAACCCTTTCCCTTGCCTAAAGCTCAGTCCGAGCTTCTGCGAGTGGCTCATTTTACTACACTGGTGCGCAAAATTAAGGACGAACGTGTTTTTCGGGAACCTGTAACGGCCACAGAGCTATCAATAAGTCTATGTTAATTCATTCTATTCGTCCTTAGTTTTGCATCCCGTGTGGAATATCCCACCCGGAATATCCACCCCTCCTCCCAGTAGACGATGAGCGCTCCCCAGGACTGGCACGGTTGCTTTTTTATAGTCTGTCTTAAACGGCCAGCACAGGCTATATCAGAAATGAAGTAGCGCATTTTCCACACCAATCTTCACTTTCATTGTAAAACTAAAAAATCAAATATGATAATGTATTCAAAAGGCAAACCATGTTGAGCGTTTCCTCGACGCTTGCTTGACTAGCCACCGAAACACATAGCAGTACACATGCGGCTTTCGTCGTATGTCCGGGACAAAGGATGAATTCGACGAGCACGCATTTTTCGGGCCTGTGGGAACGCAGTGGATGAGTTCCGGCTCTGAAAGTTTTTCCGTTAGTGCATTGAGACCCTTGCGAAGCTGTTACTTTCTTAGTCATGAGACCCGCTGCGATAGTAGTGCTGAGTTGCGGGAATCAGTTGTTAAGTAGAAAAACCTGAACTAGATCTCATTATGGAAGCCAGGGTATGGGCACTCCCAAAGCTTCTGACACTTTTGCGCAGTGCCAAGAAGTGATTCCTGAGGTAACGCGACCGCTGAAAGATCACTCATTGAGGAGTAATCCTCCTAATGGATGACCTTTCGACGATCGCGTGTCTCGGGAAATTCTACACCTGATGCATACAGTAGTGATTGGTGCGGTAAAATTGACAAAATCGAAGATTCGTGCGGCAAAATTGACAAAATCGAAGATTCGTGCGGCAAAATTGACAAAATCGAAAATATCATATTCGTTCCCTCTCCGAAATAAGAACAGTGGCACACGTTCAAATCCCATTGGCCGTCGCACTCCCCTCTTCTAGGTTGTGTTTAAATTCGAAGAAAGATGCGGAAAACAAAATAGAAAGCCCCAGAACGACTACAAATTACTATAAGTGAGGCTAAGAGCTTTTTTAAGATTAGAAGAGAGGGAAACATCAACGATCAAAGTTTGATGTAAATATTGACGACTATGGAAGGCAATAGTGCTCCTACTGATTCCACAATACCTCGAAGAGGTTTACAATGATGATAGCTTTCAAGGGGCAGATGAACATGCTTGTTCCCGTACTAGTAGCTGATGAGTAGCCAAAATAATCCAAATCAGAGAAGCATTTTAAATCTAATTGGCAGCGGGTAAGAACAGCACAAATTACCCGCAGTGGGAGAGGGTAATAGTGAATCCTAAGGTGACTCTGTGGTTTTTTCTGCTCTCTTGTTCTCGAAAAGGAATTATAATACAAATTCATCATCTGTGACCAATTTCTGGGGTTTCTCGGCGGTCCCAGCAATTACGTGAAAACAAGAGAAAAAGCCAATTATTTTATAACCAAATTACCATGAATGAGATTAGGAGCTAATTCAAAACAGAGGAACACAGTAAGCAAAAAGCTTACTACAACAATAACAGTGGGTAAAGAATGTAAGAACGGGCTCGAATCCCTTCGTGCTGGTATGCAAAATCACACGATATTCTGCTGCCTTGACCATATTCGCCTTGTAAACAGAACTCATATACAACACTAACAAACAAGTAAACAGCTAACCTCAGAATTATAAGGCACTCCTGAATAAGCGGCATATTTTTTCATCATCATTTCTTTGCTGGAGTCCTCATCACCGAGAAGGACGCATCTCACCAAATCTACTTCGGTAAGTTTCACCATTCCGAAATATCTGAAACTTAAAGGTACGGTTTGGGATCGAATTGTTGTGTTACACATATTGTTCGAGAACTAAGCAAGAAGCGCGATGAGAAACCTTATTGAAGAGAAAAAGCAAGCTGCGTAATAAAAACACTGAAATGTCTCTGCTAGCTCGGCCATGGTATGGTGTAAAGACATAATGCTGCACTGCAATGAGAGGGAAAAGGCGAGAGAGCACGTCGTACGTTGGAGGACGCAGACGCCACGCATGCTGCGAATGATAGGGATGGCAGCACTGCAGCACACAAGGCAAAACTTAGTGCCGTGATCCAGCACTTTTGACTCGCGGCAATGTCTCTTTTTCTGGCCTCTGGGCCTCCTCTTTTCACTTTAAGAGGGACTGCTTCTTGACACCTAATCCCAT